TGAATATTTGTAATGTTTTTTTATTCAGTGTACTGAAAATATGAAGATTCAGGTTTTAATGGGTAGTTAGTGCACTATTTGCAACAACAAAGACCGTTAAATGAATTAAATGTTTTTATAATATACTTTTCTATTCCAGTAAGGGGATCATTTTAGCATTTTTGTGTTTTTCTCCGCTCCTTCATATGATTTTAGTTTCTCAATTTTGTATCCTTTACCAATACTAGATACTGTATTTTTCGGACTATAAGTCGCACCAGCCAAAAAATGCTTAATGAAGAAGAAAAAAACATATATAATAATATTATATGTCGCACTTTTTTGGAGGAACTTTATTTTATAAAATCAGACAACAGTAACCGACATTTCCTGTGTAAAGTGAAGTTGTAGTAAAAACAATAGAGAGAACAACAGACTGTTAACGTCACATATGAACAGTCTTCAGATAAACTATAACATAAACAACAGAACAGAACAAGTTTACCAAACTCTCCATCTCACTCCAAATCACTAAATCCATTCAAGTCTTCATCCTTGGTGTCACTTCTGAGCACCTCGACCTCCAGAGGTAAACAGAGCGTCGCTTCCTCTTCTGTGTCGCTGTTGTCAGATTCAGCATCAGTTCCAGTTAGAATTATTCGGGCTTTTCTGAATCCTGACAGGATGGTTTCGGTGTCACTGAAGTCTATCCAATGACTTCCAGGAACGTTGCATGGTGGACCCGCCCAGTTACTGTGAAGCTGTGTTCTCCATACCCACTTTGTCCTTCAAATTACGTTAACTTCTAAATCAGATGTTATGTCCTGACAGTTACTCTTTAAATTACTTTTAGTACTTTTCCCAAGTTGCTCTTGCTTGATTTATTTCATGGACCACTACTATATTACTTAAGTAATATTATTTTAAAGTAACATTACTCTTACTCAAGTATGTTTTTTTGGCTGCTCTGCTCACCTCAACCAACTATTCCAAAAATTTCATCCATCCCTAAAACTTTGTATAAAACTTAATTCATGTTATAATGTATTAAACATATTGGATAGATATAAATATGAAAACAACAATTTAAAATCACCCACAAAATTGTAGAAATATTGGTTTATTTGGTTGTTTTTATTCAACAGTTTTTGCATTTCATTTTAAAGAATCAACACTACTTGACATTCAAAATAACATTTCTGACATACGTTTACATATTTTGATCATCTGCGCACCTCTGTATGTTCTCGTGTTTTCTCTGTAGCATTAGTAGCAGCCATAGTGAGGACTGGCTGCCCTTTCCTCGGAGCGTAATGAAACCTCCCTGACAGAGTGTATAAATATATAGGAGGCCGTTTGTGTGAGCAGCTGCCAGTCTGAGCCGTGACTGGGCCCTCTCCTCAGTCACATGTGGTGCATACCTCCTAATGCTGCTCTGTAAGGAAAGGCATGCACCCGCAACCTTTTTTTAACACCAACTACTCGCCGACACAAAGTTCAGAGGGCACTGTCGCTCTAGTTGGCAAAGCTTCATTCAGAGTGCACGCCAGGCTTTGTTTTAATGTTAGTGATGAAGCTGAGACGTCTTACTCACTCGGTACTGTGACTGTTAGACTTTTTTACTACATACACGATCTAATCTGTTTTGATAACTTTCACACAACATGAGCAGATCACTGAATGGCTGCTGATAAGGGTAATAAAGATAAGTAGGAGAATTTGATAGTTTATAAATCTTAAGTTTATATTCAACTATAGTAATTGTTTTATACCAGAACTTAAATCATTAATCAGAACAATATTGCATTGTATAGTCAAATTATTTTTATTTGTATTTATTGTATTTATGGCATAATCTTAAACTGTTTATTAACACAGTTCTTATAAATTATGTGAAGGTTTTTAAAGCTGGAGTAGTACACTAAAGGTTTACGTAACATTGGAGTGGTGTATACTAGAGCCCGACCGATATATCGGTTGCACGATATTATCGGCCTATATTGGCACCTGGAGACATATCGGCTATCAAAAGATATGCTTGCTGATAGGGGCCGATATTTCACGTGGGCATGTGATACGTTGTTAAAAATCTTAGACTCTCTACATTCTGTTCATTTAATCCAATTTACAGACAGATAATTGTCCTAATATGTGGCTTCACATCAGTATTTATCTGCGGAGTCATTTGTCAGTGTCTGTGTCCATACTGTCCCTGAACACACCACATAGATCCAAACATTGAGATTATATTCTTTTTACGGACAATCGGTTTGAGTCTGGATTAAAAGGACATTTATTAGTGCAGACTTATGATTTGAGGAGGAGCCTGTATGAGCGGTGAGTGTTGGAAATATGTCGACTTTGAAGCTAGTTTTGGTCATTTGTTATGGGTTAGCTGCTGTAGCTCCCGCACATAAACAGACTGTTTTCTATTGGTCTATTGTAAAGTGACTATATTGGCTGTATATTTGTTACTGGACCTGCATTGATATGTAAATGAGCTGTGAATAGATGTGTGAATTATGACATTTGCACATATAATTAATTACCGCGGCGCACACACATTTACGGCTAAAGGCTAAGAGCGATTGTTTATTTACTAGTTATGGGTCGGTCGCGAACGAAATGACTCTTAAAGCCGGCTCTTTGAAGCGAACGATTAGAGCCTGCTCCTTATTGGGAGCCGTGTTTTCTCTTTCTCTCACTTTTTTTCTCTTCACGCCACGTGCAGACTCGTGGTTTGACAGCGGCAGCGGCTAAAAACGAAACTTTGAGAAATTTGCGTGTACATAGGATAAAAAAACAAGCATATTTGGCTGTTGTTAAGCATAAAATAAATAAACCAGGACTAATCTTGGGCACGAGATAGAGCCCGAGTCCCGACACTCAGTCCTGGTTCAGTTTTGGTTTAGTTCTGTTTAGTTCTGTTTTACATGTGGTCTAGATCTGTTTTAGTCCTGGTTTAGTCCCTTTTCAGTCCTGATTCAGTCCTGCTTTAGACCTGCTTGCAACAAAACAATCTGAAGAGCCGCTTGGGAGCCAGAAGAACCAGCAGCTTTTAGTGAGCCATGCCAAAAGAGCCGGTTCTCTAAAAAGAACTGGAATACCCATCACTAGTGTCTAGAATGTGATGTAAAAATGCCACTAGGTCAACCTACTGTCTGTAAATATGATGTAAAGAGGCAGAATAACAATAAATGTTGCCTAAATAAACCCAATTTAAAATCCACCAGAGCCAAACCTAAGTTTTTTTAAACAATTCAACATTTACAGTGAATTTTTACATCACTAAATATATTGGCGATTATATCGGCTATCGGCAGCTCCAACTACCATTATATCGGTTTCATATCGGCCACAGCAAAATCCATATCGGTCGGGCTCTAGTGTATACGTTTGTGACATTTTTAGTATTTGCATTCAGTATTTGTATTTTTCAATGAGAGAAGTGTAAAATAATCAGTGTATGTTTATAGTTTAAAGATCCTGTATTTGACAGAACAGATTGTAGGGAGCTTTTAGCATTGCTACCTCAAGCTGTTACCTCTTCAAAAACATACCCGGACACTAGTTTGCGTAATCCTTTATTAGTCTGTCTACGAAAACCAGCTCGAGCGTCCCCCTGGCTTGAAAGTCCCAGCTCAAGCGTCCCATTCTGTCAGCAGGAATGCCCCCCTTCTCTTGGGTGGCACACTGGTACCTGCTGTGCCCAGGAGAGGGGGGAGACATTCTCGCTGCCGCGTCACGCACTGTGATGTATAGAGTTAGAAAATTAGCAGTGCGAAGCAGTGCGACACAAGAAACTTAAAGCTACAGGATTTGTTAAAAAATCATTCAGAATCACTTTTAGGAAGGTCTGAACTATGAATTTCATTGAAATATGTAAGATAAAATCTTAAAATGGTTGCAGCACAGTTGAGACCATATCATTTTTGCATGTTTTTTTTTTTTTTTTAGTGTGTAGGAACAAATGTGTTGAGCTATATTGTAATTTGCGTGTGTACAATGTATATAATGAAAACAAACGTTTGTTTTTTTTATATATAGATTAACTTAGTTTCATAAAGGGTGCAATTCAGTATTTTCCAGCCAACAGGTCTTTCTAGCTGGTTCCCGTCCCATTCTGTTGGCAGGAACATCCCCCTCCTCCCTCCGGGCACCCCTTTCACAGGGGGACGAGGGGGGACGTTATCTCTGGCCTTTAGTCGACCGCGTCATGCACTGTGATGTATTGATTTACAAAATCTGCTTCACATTTCATTTTATTATCATGCTGAAGGGATCCAGACCAAATGTCTGGCCTTGTTTGTCATTTTACAGGTTTTCACATTTTTTCAGTGTGTAGTACCAATCCTCATTTACTCACAGAACTTTAATATGAAATCGCATTTAAAATATTTTTTTCTTCAAATCAGAATACTTGCTTATGCTCAACAATTCACATGACTTTACATCTTTAACTATGGATATAGCAGGAGTTTCTTCATGCTTAGGATGCTGTCAGGCTGTTGTTCCAGGATTTCAGATATATTGTAACTTGCATGTGTAATTAATACTATATATTTAATGATTTTTAATTTATATGTATATAGAACTTCATTAAGGGTATAATTCAGGGGGACCTTCCAGTTTGGGGACCTTCCAACTGATTTTCCGGTCTACATCTCCATAGGTCAATATTAACTGTTCCAACCTGTGATGTCATGTATGTAGTGTGTGTTAACAGTTATCAGCTACCTTTTACCTTTCTTTTCAGTTAAGACTGGCAATTCCAGGGCTGAAATTATCCCAGTGATTCTGGTGAAGGTGTATGGAGTGTTTTTGACAGAAGAACTCTGCCTAAATACATAGGATTTGTGTGTTAACAGTGTGATTGAAAATAGTTTAATATGGGCCTTTTCATTCTAAACACCCTCAAAAAAGCATAATGTCTTCCTTAATTAAAAATTCTCTCGTGATTCATGTTTTGTTCTTTACATTCATTGTCTAAATTTTTTTCGTCTCCTGTTTTTGCATTTCAGATTTAGCTGCTAGTGTCCTGTGGAAATGCCGCTGAGGTTTCGCTCGGTCGTGTCCTACACACTGCCCGGAGTCCTCGCCCTGATCGGCTGGTGGTGGTACATCTCCCGAAAGAAAGATCGAATTTTGGGCCACAGCGAACTCAATCAAACCTCTTCCGCCAGCCTCCGAACTTCGCCAACAGAGGGCAGCAACGGCGTGATCGAAAATGGCACCAACTCTCCCACAGAAGACACCGCAAGAGCCGACAGCCCTTTGCACACGACTGCAAAGAGACTGGATCACGATATTAACTCACACGCTCAAGACAATGGAGACGCAACATTAAGAGTAGAAGAAAACTTAGATTTAAAGGATGAGACGCGGGATGAAGCGTGCTCATCTGAATTGGACATTTGCGAATCAAAACAGGAAGTTGTTTTGTCCGCGCAGCTTACCAAAGTTACACATTTGGATCCCAGTATTTCAGAGGGAGAGAGGCCAGAACCGGAGGGCGGAGTCGCGGGGGTGTGCACAGTTAGTCCATTGCAAAGAGTGGTGCAGCAGATTGACATAGAAACGCCAATTTTGTTGCAGGATTTCCACCAAAATGTCCTAACAAGCACACCATCTTTGCTAGTATGCACAGCAGAAATGGAAGAATTTACCTGTGAGAAGGTAGATCAACAGCCAAAAGAAGTTGAGCCAGATTTGGAGCTCCTAGCAGCTGGTTTGATAACAGAAGTGATCTCTGCAGCGAAGCAAGAAGTCATGGCCGATGCTAGCTGTCCATTATTGGAAAGTACAAGAATTTGCTCACAAGAAATAGATAAAACAGAGCATGAGTTACTTTCAAGAACAAGCTCTGATGTCCAAAAATCCGAAGAGGGAATTTCGAATGGATGTGACACAGATATAGTTATGGACAGATCAAATTGTTCAGGGCAAGCAATGCCAAAAGTTGAAGGGGTTTTGGAGGAGGACTTGGCTTGTAGTACATGCTACTCAGAGGTCAGCAGTGAGGACTTCCACCCAGCAGATAATATCCAAGTGACTGATTTGTCTGCGCCAGAGGAGACGACGCAGATGGAGGTGCTGGGGGTAGATGGAGCCGAGCGGAGAGCCCTGAGTGAGGATGGCTCTGTGGAGGGAGTGTGTGACCTGAAGAGACTGAACGGGATGAGCCCGGGCAACGGAGCTCACGGCACGGACGCAGAAACGGACCAGTCCGGAGGAGAGGGTCAGTACTGCACAGTCTATATACACTGTACTCTAGTGCTGGTGCGGTATGGTGATAAAAACTTAATAGTGCTGATGTAAGATCTCGCAAGATCAAATTGCATCAGGATTGTGCACACATGGGAAAAATGATCTCATGAGATGCTTTTCCATGTGTTTACATGTTGATTGGACAAGAAAGGTTCAATGCTAGTCGGTGAACATTTTGAGAGTTAAATACATTTTAGTAGTACGAGCCAAAATTGAGAGGTGGACCACACAATTTTACAGGGCTGGGCAATTTTGCCTGAAATATTTTAATTTTTTTTTTTGCAATCTATAGAAAACAAGATAAAACCAGCTACTGCCTTAAACATTTAGCCCCAACTTTAAATTTGACATCACTGACTCTAATTCATCAGTGCTGTCTGGCTCTGTTCTACACTCTGGTCACTGTGATTGCAGTGAGCAGCCTTTCTCACATTTGCAATTTCCAATGCAAGAAAGAGGGGGAATGAAACTATATTTTTTCTAAACAAATCGTTTTGAGCTTCATATTGCATTAATCAATTGAACTGCTTCTATTGGCCAGCCCTACAATTATCACTGACGTCAAAAAGTAATTTAGTCTCATTCTCGTGGAATCTCATGTGTTGTCTCGTCATGATCTCCCTGTGAAAATCTGTCATACTGGTCATACTGTGATTCATTCTCTATTTAAGGCCATGGGGTGGGCATTATTCACAGAATCAGGATTGGAATGTTCTAAAATGTGTTTTTAAAGGAATGTGTTACCCATAAAAGGAACAGCAAAAGAAATACACTACTATTAAATTTTTTACACTACACATTTCTGATATTTTTGGTAGATTTATGCGTCATTAGAATAAAAAGATTATTTCCAGAACAATTACAGTATACATTTTTTGATTCATCTTCTGCATAGATATTTATTGCCGCTGCTCAAATACTTTATTCCCACTCACTTCTCTTATTTTCAATAGGACAGAAACTACTGGCCCCTTCTGGGAGTATGACATTATCACTTACTAGGGTGTAGAAACCACCAGTAGATACTTTGCACAGGCTGTTCTACATGCATCTCTATTGACAAAATGATCAACAGTTTTTCAAGAGCCTGTGATCAATACAATACTTGTGGTCCTGTTTAGGTGTGAGGGACACTGTGTTCAAATAAAGCTCAGATTAAGTCTAACTTGAGTAACAGAGCTTCTAACACAGTAGTGCTTACAGTTAGCATCACTTCATCAGGTGAGGTTGATGACATGAGCTGCAGAGTATCAAAGGGGAATAATGTATTGTAGTTGTTTGTCAGTCTAACTCCTGTTTGTGTCCACAGGCTCAGATGTGAACAGTATGGACTCTGTGGACAGCGGCTGCATCGGAGAGAGCAACCACAGCTCGTCCAGTTCAGAGGTCATCATCTGGGAAATCGAGGTGCCAAAGGTAAGGTCGACCTGATGCTCTGCCGTGTACGGTTTGATTGACAGCAGGGCGACAGTAGCTCAGTTGGTAGTGTTTGTCCATTGATCTGAAGGTTGGCAGTTTGAATCTCACTCTTGACATCATTGGTAGAGAGGTCAGATTCACTGACCCACAGGTTGGCAGTGCCACTTTAGCTCCCACAGATGAATGCTGTCGTCACAGAATGAATAGAAAGAATGCCTTTCATTGTCACTATACATACGTACAATCCACACTATATACATGCACAATGAGATTAAAAGCAACTCACCCTCCAGTGCAGATGTGCATGTAGGACACTTACAACCCAGTACAAAAAAGAATAAAGAAGAGAGTAAATAAATAGGAACGTAAGTACTAGTGCCTATTTGTGTCCTTGGGTAAGACACTTAACCCACCTCGTCCCCAGTGTCGGTGTACACTGGTGTATGAATGTGTGTGTGTGAATGAATGAGCGGTTCCTTGATGTAAAACACATTCACAAAGTAGGATCGATATAATTAAGAGTTAGACATTACATTATTGATCCCACTGGGAAGATTGATTTTTTGAATATCATCTGAGCTCTGGTTGTCTGGACTAAAGTTTTAGTAAAATGATTAAGGAGACAAATAATCTGTAAAAGTTCTACCTGTTAGTTACCTGAGCAATATAGAGTTAAAACATAATTCATTACAAATGAACAATCAAACACAACATATGTTATGTGCAGTGTTGGGAATAACGTCGTTTAAGTATAACAGCGTTACTAACTCCATTACTTGTGCCAATAATGAGTACGGTAATCCAACAAATGACTCTGTCCTCTGTAGTGTAACGGGGCTTGTTATTTTACTGTGAGTCTCAGCAGTGGTGACAGATCACACCGTCTCTCGTTTCATTCGGAGGTGGTGTGAAGTTTTTTTCCTTTGTTTTGGGCAGTAAACAAGGCTAAGATGATGGGGTAGAGATGGAGATTAGCTAAAAAAAGGGATTGATCGTAAATGTGACCAATCAGAAGCAGCGTCATGCAACCTTGAGATTTTCCTGACTTTTCATTGGTTTAGCACTGAAAAGCGCTGAAATACTGTTTTTAACACATTTGGCGAAATATACAGCACAAGATGATTTTATGGATTTACATGTTTTTAAGCAACTCTTTTGTGATGGGAGCACAAAGAGAGGACTACAGCAGGAGAGACGCGTGCGTTTGAAAGATGACAAATCACTAAAAAGATGTAAAAAATAGTGGACCCAGGGCCAGGTCTCTGTTCACGCTACTTATCGTAAGTGCTGCTCATCTCTGTTGAGCGGTTCTCTGGTTTTACAAGCTGATGAGTGGTGTTTGGTCAGAGTCATGCTGTGTGAGGGGACAGCTGTTTGCCCTTGTGCTTTTGTGACGGTACAGTTGTTGTCACTGTTGGGTGTGAGTCCATTTTGGTGCTTTTGATCTGTGTGGATGGGAAGAACTTAAAACACAGGCTCTGGGGGCACTTGGTGATTTGCAGACAGAATAAAGGCCGAATAGAGCTCATTTTTACTGTAAAAACTGCAAGAGGTGTATTTTGAGTTGTTTATGTTGGTCAGTGCAGTTACTAATGCAATTACTGTGGAGGAAAAGCAACAGGTACCAGGTAGGTTGTGTTAGGATAGAATTTTCCTTGCTACTTGCTGCATTGACACAGAAGACTTGAAAGCATTCAGTCTTTTATTTGGTTCTTGTCAATTGAGATCTGTATGCATCATGTTTAGTGCCGTATTTTCCGTTCTGTTAGACGCGCTCTTAAGCCTCCAGTCCCATTAAAAAACGACTGCGTGCCCCACAATCCAGAGCGCCCTATACACGAATCCACTCACGTGTCCCAGCACGACTTCAGTAAACTACAAAGCCGCACCACCCGCAGAACACACAAACACACACGCAGCAGACAACGACCACGCAGCCAAAAACACCAACAGACACACTCATCACTCCACGCCGACGAGGAACGGAACGGTGGAATGAACCGAAAAAGCGAGTGCAATGTGCCACTTCTAGACACAACTGAACAACTGAGTCACTGCGAACATGCCGACAATCCAGCGACAGACAACACCCTCCCTACACGCCACAACTGAACAAAGCCCAGAGTCACCGTGAACGCACCAAACAAACAAAACCACTCACCCATCACACTGTTGTGTTTCCTTTAAAGTCCGGTGCGGTTTATTTATGAAAAAGTTTGAAAATAGACCATTTAATGACAGTGTGTTTATAATCCAGAGCGTCTAACAGTGCGGAAAATACGGTACATTGGAAAGTGAGTGACTGGCTCATAGCAAGAAGCAAATGCAAACGACAATAAATTGAACCTTTACAATCTACTTCTCCTTCAAATCAGAAATAATGTAATTGAAGTGAATGGTCAGATTTAAAGGTGCTATATTGTGCAAAATTTTTATTTTTGAATGCTGTTACCCTCTCAGAAATGTACCTGGAGTTGTTTTGTTTCATTCACACGTTTGAATAATCCTGCATTATTAGTCTGTCTACATCGCCAAAGATCCAAATGCTCTTTTCCACCTTTTGATGTCATGAAGCAGTAGTTTTAAAGTTAACAGCTCCTAACAACACCTTTAGGTAAAAAAAAAGTTTGGTAATTCATCCAAATTATTCTATTGAAAGAGCCTGGAGTTTAAAATCACAATGAAATACCTGTATTACATCCACACATGACATCACAAGGTGGAACAGAGAGTTTTCAGTTTGAGAGAAGAGCTCAAATTTAATCTAATCTCTAGCGTTTGTGTGTTAACCATGTGTGAATGAAACAAAACACAACTCCAGGTCTGTTTTTCATGAGTAAACAACATTATAACATAGATTAGAAAATGGCATAATCTGGGCCTTTTTAAATGTCTGTACTGAGCCGTGTGTTCGTCTCTTGCAGCACCTGGTCGGACGGTTGATCGGGAAACAGGGCAGATACGTGAGTTTCCTGAAGCAGAGCTCTGGAGCAAAGATCTACATCTCCACTTTACCGTACACACAGGAGTTCCAGATCTGCCACATCGAGGGTCAGTGTCTGCTCTGGGCTCCTTTTACGAAGAAATATGTCGATGCGCCTACGTCTGTGTTCATAACGTACACCCACAGACTGTATAAAGAAGTGGGACGTCACCTATAGCGTTTGGCTCCAGTCAAATGAAGCTCATGAGGCTATTAATAGTATTAGGGCAAATTTGGAGCCATGTTGGGAATACAAATTGATTTGCAGATTAAATAGTGAAATAAAAACACAAGGATCATTTAGAGCAGTTTAATACAGACCAAAAGAGCAAAATGAGGAGCCTGACAGCAGAAGTTATGAAAAGAGGGTGACATTTTTCCAATACAAAAAGTTAGTCTCACTTCTTATTTTAAATGTGGCAGCTAGCAGGTTGGCTATGTTCATTTACAGTCTGGGTGTACGCATCACTGTTTTTTGTTTTGCTCCATTTTAACTTTAGATTAATATGGAAACAATATTTGAATAAACAAATAATAATGTTAGAATACTAATTCTTTCTTTTTTTTCAGGAACGCAGCAGCAGGTCGACAAAGCCTTAGCTCTGATCGGGAAAAAGTTTAAAGATTTGGACCTGACCAATCTGTATGCGCCTCCAGCTCCTCCTCCTCTCTCACTGCCCTCACTCCCCATGACCTCCTGGGTAACAACTTACATCTGTTTTTCTTGACATTTTAAGCTTTGATTGGTTAATTGTTTGTGTTGAGATGAGTGTTACTGCAGTACTGAACCATTTTGGAACAAAGTCTAATTTCAGTTTTTCTGACAGGTATTAAATTAGATTAGAGATAGTCCAATGAGATTCATTTGGTCTTCCGATACTTTGTTATTAGGTTCTTTTTTCAGACCTAGAGTTTAGTGTCATACCTGACAGTTTCGACTGCTCACTAGCGCTCTTCCTCAGAGTGGTCACGTGATGTTGCTGTGACATGTCTGGTCAGCTGATTTAAACAGGTTTTGGCGCTGTCTTCCTACTGGTGGAGGCAGCAACATCACATGACCACTCTGAGGAAGACGCTAGTGAGCTGTCGAAACTGTCAGGTATGAAACAAAACTAGGTCTGAAAAAAGAACCTAATAATATATAAATCTGAGATATATTCATGAAGTAGGAATCTGTTGAATTGCTCATTAAATTAAACTAGAGCCCTGCACTCAATGACGCAAAACACATTTTGAAAGTGCATTGTGCGTGCAGGCGGGAGCGGGACTGCACAGTGCGAGAGCGGGTGAGATGATAAACTGCAGTCCCGCAAACTTAATATGAGAGTAAAGTAAAATATACAAATGATTAATGTTTGTCTATCATACATCATTTGTGCTGGATATTTTATTTGGCATTAATAAAAACATTTTAAGCAGCCTAAACCTGTGGTCTAATCTCACGCCACATTTTAGACAATTCCTTTCTCCATGTTTGATAGAGATTAAAAAAACAAACGTCCCCATCTTGCAAGGATTTGCAGGTGGGAGCGGGAATGGAAAATTACAATTCTTTGTGGGCGTGGGTGGGAGCAGGACTGAAAATTTGTGTCCTGTGCAGACCTCTATTATAAACCGCTACACCCCTTTACTAGATTCCCATGCATTTCAGAACATGTTTGTAAAATTCTAAACTATGGGTACAACACGATTTTTCTATTAGACAGGTTCTTTGCAAAGGACATTCTAAATGATTTTGTGATTTGACAGTTGCACCAATTTAAAATTTCGTCATTTTGATTTGATAACGATTACAATTTTCTGTTCATAGCAATGATGAATGGAAGTCCATCATTTGGACAACTAATCTGACCAGCAAAATGAATCCTGGTGATATTTGTTATGATTGGGCCCAAGCCATCAGTGGTTTGAAGATTAGACCAATCACAGGGCAGCATTGTGGTTTGGGTGGAAACCGATGTGCCCAAACCTAAACAAACATGGGAACAAAAGGGGAATGAGTCTTTATAATTAACAATGATGGCTGTAATTTTAACCTGTTACTCCAGTGCAAGTTGCTGTTGAACCCAAACTTATTTTACTGAATTTTAAACCTCTTTAGTCCAGTGAGTTCCATTTTTCAGACTAAAGTTTAGATTGTTTTCCTACCTGACAGTTTAGGAGGAAAGACAAGAGGAAAAACACTAGTGAGTAGTCAGAACTGTCTCGTATGAACACAAATTAGACCTTGATCTGAAAAAAGTTTGCTCATTTTGTTGCCTTAGACTGTCCAAGCCACAACAAACAAGAGAAGAGTAGATGGGCTGTCCAGTAGTATTCAAACTCTAATATTAATGACTTCTATTCATTCTATTTTATTGTCTTCTCAGCTGCTGTTGCCAAGCGGAGTCTCGGTGGAGGTGATTGTGGTGAACATAGTCTCTGCTGGGCATGTGTTTGTTCAGCAGCACACTCACCCCACGTACCACGCCCTGAGGAGCCTCGACCAGCAGATGTTCCTGTGCTACTCTCAGCCTGGGACGCCCGCCCTGCCCTCACCCGCTGAAGGTAACTATGGCAACAGGACACTGACGGTTAAACGGTTTCGGGAAAAATGATCAATTTCCCAAATCCAAAGTCTGGTTGTTCAGATATCTATACTGGTATTGGCAAAAGGTCCATTGCAGCGCATTTTTCATGATGCTTGCGGCACCTAGATCAGGTTAAATACAGGCTGTGGAGGCTCTGTACGTACTTAAAACACACGAATAAAGACAGGAAAGACATTTGTGTTACCTCTGATACCTCCATTTAGTCTTTGGTGTGGATGCTGAACTTGATAGAATAACTGCGCTATAGAGAGAACAGCCAAGAGCTAAAACGACTTTGTTTATTCTGCATAATTAGCCATGTGCTCCGAGGAGTGTCTTTTTTTTTTTTTTTTTTTTTTTTTTTACAGGCGCCACTGTTGTTTTTATCCACACAGTGCAGTAGAAAGTGACAAAGTAAAGTAAAAGTGCTTAAATCATTATACATATGACTCTACTACTTTAGAAAAAGGGCTAAAATATTAAGGTTGTACCATAAATTCCACACTATAAGCCGCTACTCTCTTCTCACACTTTGAACCCTGCGTCTAATAAAACGATGCGGCTAATATATGGAGGGATTATTTGTTTGGCACATTGTCCATTCATGTATACAGTCTATGATTTGGTAACACAGTGGATACTCGCAGCCTGAGTGCAGAAAACGCCGCTGTCTGTGCGGTTACACATGGATCTAGGGTTCATATGAAGTTGCTACACTAGCTCGCAATATTGTCAGCGCACTCAGATTGTTTAAAAATTAAGTTATGATGCTAAATGAACATTAGTGAGGGGGATATGTCTTACCCGTATGTGTAAATTACGAGAAACTTCAAACTTCAGTAGCTGCACATTAGGGGTGGGCGATATCTCGATATTTTTAATATATCGAGATTTTTTTTTAACTCGATATGAATTCTGACATATCGTATATATCGATATAATGCTTATATTCAATTTTGATTTTGCCGCTTTGCTTGTTTGTCTTCTCTGTCGCCCGCGCGCCCTCGCCTCCCTGATTTTGTTCACTCGTGTCTCATTCACTTCTCACTATCTCCGCGAATGCCGAAAGTTGCTGCCAGTGAAAAGCTTCTAGCGCCACGAAACCTTTCCACCATTTACAGACAAGGCCACCAGCAGCACATCCTCACATTCCACCGAGTCATGTCCTTTAGTCCAAAAGAAGCTGAACCGCAAGAGCGGCACATGGAGTGCGCTGTTTATGCAAATTAGCCATGCGCTTTTTAAGTTTCGTTTCTGTAAAACATAAACAAGTCTGTGCAAAGCTGCAAAAAAATAAAAAAAATAACATAAAATAAAATGATAACACTATAATCTCAAACGGGCTGATGTGGCTCTTGAGTCGTTATGCTATATATCTTGTAAAGTTTAGTAATGTAAATTCTATTTATGCAGAAGATTTTAATAAATAATCTGCTGCAGTGTCACTTGTACAAAAGTGCTTGGAATCGTTGGGTTTGATCTGCAGTGGATTGTGGGAAACCTCAGAGCTCCTTACTGCTGGAACATGGATCTGTTAAAATAAGGAACATCCTGAGCTTCTTCTGCTGAAGGAGCTCACGGTTATGATTATGGTCTGGATAACAGAGTTTATGCAAAGATGAGCTTGAGTTGAGTTGTTTTATTTATGAATGAAAAGAAGGAAATATGTTTTATTTCTTTTATTTGACAGTTAAATTATTATTTATGTAATTAGGGGTTTTTGTAATCTTAAATGTTCCTATATGAACTGCCTACCTCTTACACTTTAATTTTTTAAAAAAGGACCTTGTGGAATTTGGCATATTTGTTTTTGCAGTTTTCCGTTTTAGGGGGTTATTTTTTCCTGTACAGATATCGAGATATATATCGTATATCGAGATATAGCAAAATATATCGAGATATACTTTTTTTGATCCATATCGCCCAGCCCTACTGCACATCCACTCATACATGATTGATAGAATTAACCCCACTCCTGAGAGAGTCTGAAGTCTGCTGAAATCCTCCAAGACACTGACATGATACAGACAGGATATAGGCTCTGTCTGCAGGAGACATGTGCAGTAGAGCACAGGGAGAGACAGGGTCGATGCGCCAAGGAAGATGCTCTTTTGATTGTGTTTTGAACAGTTATTTTACACTTCATACACACACCCTCCTCATGGTAAACACACAAAGAAATGCAGATGATGTAGATTTTAAGTTGATGGAAGAAGGAAACGGAGCTGCTGCACTTGAACTCGACATCAGTGGTGACAACAGCGTGACAAACTAACTCATTGCAAAAAGACGACAAAAACTTTCAGAGGCGATAAAAGCACATGACCCTAACTTAATAACATTCTTGAAGATGTGAACACCTGCGGCTTCTACTCAGGTTCGGCCTATACAGTATATGTGCAGTTTTAAAATTTTGTTAAAATGTAGTTGATGCTGCGAATATTCAGGTGCACTCAATAGTCTGCATTTTACTGTAGTAGAGTAATTTTTTAGTTTTTTTACTGTTACAAAATTTACTAGCCTTAGTCTACTTCTTCCCACTATGCAGTATCGGTATAGGCAAGTACACTAAAGCCAAGTAATGGTATCGGTCCCCAAAAAAATGGTATTGGAACAACACTAATCCAAACCTCTGAGTAGTTTTACTGTCCTCTGGTATTATGTAAAAGCAACAGTCTGGAGCTTTCGTCTATGTTCCCTGTTCTAAAAATGTGAAAATGTAACTTTCCCCATGTCCCACCCACAGCTCTGTACATAGTAGCATTTTTAAGGCCTCAGTTTATATAGAATATGTTAAAAAAATGTTAAAAGCGTAAGGGAAAATCCGCTGCTTGGTGCCTCTCAGTTTTACAGTTTTGAAAATGAAGTGATTGGACCTTTTTTGTATTGAACTAACAACAAGTACGAGGGGAAAAATAGAACCCTGTGTATTTTGTGTGTATTTTGCAGTGGGTGTGATCTGTGCCGCGCCGGCTGGAGAAGGCGCCTGGTGGAGAGCTCAGGTCATCACGTTTTTCAAAGAGTCAAACGAAGCCGAGATTCGATACGTCGACTACGGAGGATACGACCGCGTCAAGATTGACACACTGCGGCAAATCAGGTCTGAACCTACAGCACCGTCACGGCGTTTGTGTTCACCGCCGTTCAAGGTTGTCAGAAGTATCAAATCACTCATCGGTATTAAAACTAGTATCAAAACTACTCATTTGAGCAGGGATCAATACTAAAATAGGGATGGGACGAGATGTCTTGCCATAAGACTGTGCACACATATGAAAATTGATCTTGCGAGATTTAATCCTATTTCTTTACAGCTGAATTTGAGTTGAATGTATTTATTTGAATGTATTTATTTGGAGCATAAGCCCCTTGAGATGTCTTGCCATCTCGTTTTTGAACGGGTCCTCATAAATACAACAACAAAAGACAGATACAGTAGGGCAGACAGTAGGATACATAAATTCAATAAAGCATCAAAACAACAAAATCAACACAACCACAAACACACACACACACACACTTGACTGTTTGACATATAGTAAAACAAGTTTGATAATTACAACAAAATGAACAACAAAAATTCTACAAAATGATCAAAAACAATGACATGGGTTATGCAAATATTGAACCAGAGCATTTTTAAACGAAGGGACTGAAGTTAAAACACGAATCAATGAAGGAAGATTGTTCCAATTAGGAGCTTTATATTTAAATTTGTGTTTTCCTATTTGTTTTTTGACTCTTGGGACAACAAAAAATATCTGATCTGCGTTACGTAAACTGTAAGAGGATCTGAATGGAATTAAATATTGTTTGAGATATTCAGGAAAACTGAGATTAATGCATTTAAAGAAAAATAATAAGCAGTGAAGTTGACGTGGGGAGGACAGAGTGAGCCAGGACAGTTGGTGATACATCGTACAGTGGTGAGTTCTGAAGGGACAGTGGATAATGAATCTGCAGACTGTTATAGATAACACTGAGTGGTTGGAGAATAGAAGTTGTAGTATTTTGATAAATAATATCACTGGCAGGGGCATGAAATGGTTATGCCTCACTCAAGCTCTGGAGAGCTGCCTATGTTTGAGCAGCTGCAGCTAAAAGACTCCTCCACATAAAGACGTGTAGCTCATATTCAGACAGAGAACACTTTCAACTCTGTCCCAGTTTTTATTTCATCATTATATTAGTTGAAATTGGTCTCAAAATGTCAATATTATCATTTATCGCAATAAATTCTTGGTCAGTTAATCATCCAGCAAAATCTGTTATCGTTACAGGCCTAAGTATTGTATCTCCAAATCAATTCTGAAATGTTATTGTCATGACCACAGAATGTCTTGTATTATTGTGAAGAGGGACCCTATTGTGCTTGTTTTCTGTGTGAAGAGGCTTGTGCACTTTATACATCTGGTTTTACTTTATTCAGTGTAATATAATGAAATTTATGTCCATATGAAATACATCTCCATTGGGGAGTAATTTGAATGGATTAAGACAGCTTCTGCAGTTTTCCCATTGATTTAGTTAAGATTATGGTGGCACAAACAGTTTTTATTTGAATAATTTAATCTCATTCAATGTCATGTTTATATTACATCTTTAAGCACTCATTTTTGACCAGTATGGCCTCTTTTATAAGTTTATTATTACACAGTTTTATTATGCCAGTAGATATTAGTAGTCCAGGTCGTTTTTAGAATTCAATGGGAAACAAAATTACCAAAATCTGATGTACATTGACATAAACTTGACACTGACTATTTAGTTTGGGGCCCTCTGGTGGTGGATTTAATGCACAACATTCTCGTGTAACCTTAACTCTTTTCTTTCTCCAGATCTGACTTCGTAACACTACCATTTCAAGGTGCTGAAGTTTTGCTCGACAACATAGCACCACTTCCAGGTAAAAAGATTTTATCCGTGCGATTATTTTTTTTTTTCTGTGATTAAAATATTCAACTTTTAAAATGTGTTTCAGGAGAGGACCGTTTTTCAGCTGAAGCCACGACTGTGTTAGAGGAGCTGACCAGAGGAGTAGCACTTCTGGCACAGGTGAAGCGTTTATTCAGTATTAACTAAAACTAGAAGATTGAACCTCTCCGGGGGGCGTCATTTAGTCTGACGTGGGCGTGCTGACATGATCTATTTTGATTAAATGTTGTGGTGCTGAAAAGACTGTCAAGAAATGAATGGGAGCACACACCAGACTATCCCTCTAAAAAGAACAACAATTAATTAAAAGTCCTATATTATGATTTTTCTGATCTATGTTATAATGTTGTTTCCTTCTCAAAAACCTACCTGGAGTTTAATGGTTAAACGTGTGAATCAAACACATCAGACACGAGTTCTTCTCTCAAACTGAAGACGCTCTGTTCCACCTTGTGATGTCATGTGGTAATACAGCATGTGCATCATAGTGTTTTTAAACTCCACACACCTTCATTAGACTCATTTGAATCATTTCAGCCTTTGATTAGGTGAGTTTCAGCTGACATCATTGTTATTAAAAGCCCGCGTTGCATGCTGGGAAATATTTTGGTCAGAGGCAAGAAACACGACAGCGTCAAACACAGTGCGTAACCTCGTGTATTTATCCCCGATAATGGTAAATTCCTGCTGCCTTATCAGATGCACAAATAGAAGCACAGAAGAAAGAAAATGTCTTTTTCGTATTCTGAGTGAAAAGAACCGCTAACGGTGAATTAAACGACTTTCAAACATCCGCAGAGCAAACGTAGAAGATCCTAACAAACCGTGGACTCCAACAAGTTCAACAACACATCGAGACTCTTGGAGGTTTTCATCTTTTCTGCTGTGAATGGCCCAGGAGTTTCCACCAAGTCATTGTGGATATCACCCAAGTGAATATTTGTCCAGGTAGTTGGTGATTCTGACCAGAAATTTGGTTTGGTCCACCTTTTGTCAGGGTTGAAAAGGGTGTTTTTTTTCGTCTGTCGATGCTTATGACCAATTTCTGGTCAAATGGTCTTGGGTCCTCTGCCGTTAGAGTGGATAAATAATCGGGATCAATGCCCTTTACGTGCTTTCTCGCTCCGTCCGTCATGTTGAATTAGTGTTTCTTGCCGCCGACCAAAATAATTCCCAGCATGCAACGTGCGCTTTTGTCAACAATGAAACTCACCTATAGCCCATCTCTACTGAGCTATAGGTAAAAGGAGATGTTCAATTGCAAATGACCACTACATGACATCACAAGGTGGAGTAGAGCATTTTGAACTTTGGAGATATAGACAGACTAATAAGTAGAAAAGCAGTCAGAGAGCGCAGACCTCCGCCAAGGACTACCCCCATTTTTTATATAAATTGCGATAAAATCAGTCTTCTGGATCAGATCCGGATCAGCCTTTGGAATATGAAAGAGGATCCCATTGTCCATCCCTGAGTCAAATTTCATGGGGTTTGGTCAATAATTAACCGAGATATTGAGAAACCAAATTTTTGGCCCCATTTACCACAATGTTAACTAAAATTTCAAAGTGATCCAGAATCCAGGATTTCTTCCGGATCATCCCCAAAATGAAATCAGTTCTTCCTTTTCACATTTCCAACAAATCCTGAAAATTTCATCAAAATCGGTCCATAACTTTTTGAGTTATGTTGCTAAAAGACAAACAAACAGACAGACAACAAACAAACAGACAAACGCCAGCAAAAACATAACCTCCTTGGCGGAGGTAATAAAGGGTTATTGGTTGTGTAGTTGTCTGTATTTTCATTCACATATTATTTTTAAGAAGGTAACAACATTATAACATGTTCTAAAGCTCACAAGAGTCTTTCTGTAATATAGGACCTTTAAAGACAATTTATTGATAAATATAACTTTTTTACATTCAAGATATCAATAAGTTTGGCCCTCGGATTGATAATATGTATTTATTTTGGCCCATCGAAGAAAAAAAGTTTGGGCTCTACTGATTGAAACATTCACCAGGTCAGGATAACCGTATAAACTCCCACTGAAAATAAAATGAAACTGGTTTAATGCCATTTCCCGGTGATGTTTATTGTGTTGTCTGACCCAATTTCAATAAAAAAATTAGTTTTTAATTAAAATATTGATTAAATAAGTGATGGTTAGTGTTAAATTATGTCTTATTACACTGAATTCGTCACTTTGGGCACCCATGCACTAAACGAGAACATAATGCATTTGAACTAGGGCTTGATATCGTTAAGAAGTTGCCGATACGATACATACCTCGATACATAGGCCACAATACAATACATATCGCTATACAGTGAGCTTTCGTTTCGATACGATATAGTTCAATAAAAAATAAAGGCTAAATCATGGCTGTGATACCACTTCTTGTGCAAAGTTCATAAGAAACACAAACATTTGAATCATCAAAACAGTGAAAATGTCAAATTGGTCGCATCAATCAAAGACCTTTAATGTGGCCCTAAGCTGATTTTCTACTAAAATATTTTAATTATATTTTCTGTTAAAACATTGTTAATTTTCTGCGGCGCTTTTCATAGCAGCGTCTCGAGCGCCTCTGTACGTGGCCCCTCCCACCAGAGCAGCACAAATGAAGACTTGTCTCTTTCCAAACGCTCTTAAAGGACGATCGTTTTGACTGTTGACCGTGACACCCTCATCAGAAAAATGTCCAACATGAGAAAAGTGGAGCCGAGTGCAGGATTTTCCAAGAAAAATTTACTTCTTTCTATTTGCATACAAGTTAAAACTTTGTGTTGAAATTGCATTTTTCTTAGTTTCAGGTTGTTCATAATATTATAATATTTTGTAAAAGAAAGAGTTCATCAATTAAAAAAGATTTCTGTAATAGATTTGTGTTTCTCTGCACAAATATTTGAACTTATTGCTATTTTTTGAGGTATATATGTCATGAGTTTTCTGATCCGGCCCCTTTGGGATCAACGGCCCCCGGACCAAAATGAGTTTGACACTCCTTTGTTTACATTGTAAACAGACAACAAAACTGTAGCTCTGTAACTAAATAACTTAGTAAAATCTGCCAAAAAATATTGTTGGCAATATATTGATACAGCAGCCCACGATATCAATACTGTATCATCACATTAATGATATTTCGATATTTTTGCGCACCCCTAATTTGTAAGTTAATCTTTATTTATATAGTGCTTTCACAGACATATTCTGTCCCCAAAGATGCTTTACAGAGCATTATTCAGCATTATTCTTTCAGCATTATTCATTCACTCTATACCCTGGTGATGGTAAGCTTCTATTGTAGCCACAGCTGCCCTGGGGCACACTGACAGAAGCGTGGCTGCCATGCCACTCGACACCATCAGTCCCTCCGACCACCACCATCACTCACACACACCACTTTCATACTAGGCAATGTAGGTGAAGTGTCTTGCCTAAGGACACAATGATTGAATTGATTGTATTTAACTGATACTATTAGTACTGTGTACTAATTTGTACACAGTAACTTCCCAATATTTGTTTGAGCGAAGGGACAGATCACTTTTAGCTCTTACTTTGGTAGGTTGTTTGGTGCGTTCAAAAAAACCTGTAAAAATATTGGTCTATGAAATGTAAAAGGGAAAAATTACCTCAGTTTCTCTAATTCTGTATTCTGTCTGTAATTCTGATCATGTCATATAAATAAATGTCTGTGTTTAGGTTTCAAACTATGACACCAACACCGGGCTCCCACTGGTCCATTTGTGGAAGATGGGCGGAGATGAGGTACGCTTTTCTGCTTCAGCTGGTTTGTTGAAGCAGTTTGCAGTGGTCCAAACTTAATCCTCACTTACCTTGTGCATTCTTAATGTGATGAGTCAACATGATGATTTTAGAAGCACTTTTCACAACCAGAGCAGAGCATGCTAACGTGCACTTCCTGATTCTCTTAACAATAAAACTTTTTATGATTAAAGGACCCATATTACTTTATTTTTTGATCTGTTTCTTCATCAAAAACATACCAGGAGGCTGCTACCTGTACTGCTGCCTTTAAATAATCATGCAGTTTTTACAGTAAAGCTCTATTCTGCCTTTATTCTGTCTGCAAATCACCAAGTGCCCCCAGAGCCTGTGTTTTAATTTATTCCCATCCACACAGATCAAAAGCACCAAAATGGTCTTAGTCAGTCTGCATTTTCAAACATGCTTGGATGAAACAAAACACAACTCCATGACTGTTTTTGAACATTATAACATGACTAAAAGCTCACAAGAGTCCATTTTGCGTAATATATGATCTTATTTTGACCTGAAGAGCTGCAGATCTGTAGAGAAGAAAAACAAAAAGCAGGTGCAGTCCCTTCTTAGTTAAAATCTTCTTTCTTGTTTTCCAGGTAGTCTCTGTGAACCGCACACTGGCCGAGCGCAGGCTGGGCGTTTGGGTGGACAGCTTCTAAACTTGCATCAAATTTGGACCCACCTTAATTTTTTGCAACACCACTGGATCTACGAGGAGATATTTTTTTGTTTCATTTTCGTTTTTTTTTTCTTTCACCATTTTGCCCTGTATATCCTTAAAACTTCAAAATATTAAAGTAATTTGCGGGCATAACCTACAGCAACATGGCACTGCTTCAGTCTAAGCGAGACCTCCCGGGTTTACTGTACAAAAGGACTGAAGTAAGAGGAGGCACTTGTACATTTTTAAAAAGAAAAATCTATATTGTAATTAAATAAAGGTTCGCCAATATTTTTTCCTCCCCACATTTTTCGACAATAATTTTGCTATGGGCCCTTTGCATGTAGACTCAATCCTAATGCAAAGTCAAAGGAATTCCCCCATCCCATAAAATCATGTTTTTTTTTCTTCAACATTTCATACATTTTGAGTTTTAAAACAGCAGAACCACTTCTTTTTTTGAGCCTGTTTCATTCACAACTGACCCGGTAACGCCACTACACAATTCATTCAGGAAAAGACGGGCCACTGAAACCAACGTACATCGGGGCATTTTGCAGCTAAGAAGCAGGAAAATATGAAATTGCACTAACGGAAGGATGTTTTAAACTGCCAGAAAAATGAATTGTTAAGCTTGAAGTCACTCAAATCGACACACTCCCATTTATCGTGAATCGGACAAGGTTTTGTTCATACTTTAATTGCGTTACGTAATTTCTGATATGTATTGGTGAGCAAAAAATGAAATCTACTTCCATTTTCAACCATATTTTCTTTGTTACAGTGAAAACGAAAAAATTTTTTGATGTATAAAATGTATAAAATATTCCGATTTTATTCAAAGTTTGGCAATTATGAATTTGGTGACAAAAATCTAGACCAAAAAAAGGAAATATCAGGAATTAAAATCTTGTTACGGTGTGTGTTCGTGCATTGATTTCAGTTTTGCTTCAGTACTTATCGTCTAGAGAGCAAAAATAAAGAGATGATTTGCTTTTTGCTCACTTTTGCGTAACATCGCATCACAATGACGTAGGGATTGTTTTTGTTTTAAAGGTGCATTGTGTAACTTTTCTGGTGGAGGGACCTTCAAATGCTTTGTCTGGAATGTTTCACAGTATGACATTAAACCTTTTCGATCTTCATTATCATTAAGAAGGTGCCGATATGATACATACCTCAATACACAGGCCACGATACGATACATACCTTGATACAGTGTACTTTCGATTCGATACGATATTTCAAATCGATTTGATACGGTTCAGTAAAAAAGCACTAAATCGTGGTTGTGTTAATCGATACAGCATCATCACATCAAACGCTACGATATTTCTGCTCAACCTTATTCTTCATGAAGACCAAACTAGGCTAAGTTACAGGTCAGATCTGTGGAGAGGCGACCCATTCACAGTCAGAATGCCAGTTTTTCTAGGTATTTTTGAGCTATAAAACCACTTGAAATTGAATAAACGTAAAGTAGAGCTGCTTAATGTCACACTGTGGAACATTCCAGACAAAGCAATGACTTACAAATGGAAAAAAAGCAGGTTTCTAGCAAGCAAAAAGTTACACAGTGCACCTTTTTAAGTTACTGAAAAAGTCCCAGGATCTAAAAATATTCCAACAGCGCCAAAGTCCGGACAGAAACAATCCAATCCACCAATAACATTTTTTTTCCAATTTCTCTCGTATGTCTCCAAATTTTTCAATACTTTTTCAACATTTCAGCAAATTCCTCAGTCGGTTCAAGGTAAACGGGAGTAACGTCGGTGTCATTAAATGCGTTGATATTATGAACTGTAAAAGCCTGTGTTTTGTAACGTCATGGGTTTTTGGGCACACGTGTTGTGAGAAAACTGACTTGAAATATGTATAAAAGAATGGAAAACGCGCTCGGAGACGTCCTGAAGTCTTGAAGGAAGAATTAGCTCTTTAAAGACACTATCGCGTACAAACGAAAGGGGAAAATCTCTATACAATGTACATTGAAGGCTACTGTATTTGAAATAGACCTGCCACGACTCTAGACATAGACGTGCTATTTGGACACTTTAAAGACGCGCTGTGTAACTTTCCTTCTCGTCCTTGGAGCCGCTGTCGCTTCGCCTGGAATGTTCCGCGGTACGACGCCGAACCGCTCCACCTCCACGCAAAAAGCCGCAAACTGACAAGCTCGGCCACGCTACGAATTTTTTCAGTGTTTTTTCGAGCAATAAAAACTTTCGGTTAGATCCGTTTTAATGCGATACTTCGGAACATTCCAGGTGACACACTGACGCTAACATCTCTGTGGAGACGAGCAGGCGGCGCGAACCCGACCCCTAACGTTACATAGAGCGTCTTTTTTTGTCTTTAAAACCATATTTGACAACAGAGCTCACACTAAATCAATAATCTGCTGCTATCCCTTTAAAAAAAACAAAAAAAAACTATTTATTCAAATCAATTTCTCCATTTCGTGTTTTGAGTTTTTGATAGCCAGTCCCTCTTATCGGACGAACTGCACTGTGTGTCTTGTCACTGTAGTCTTCATTATCCTAAACTTTTCAAGGGATTATTTGACTGACATTTTTTACAGTTTCTATATCGACTTCATTTTTTAAAATAATCATCGTTACTCTATTAGCAATAAGGCAGCTTTTTTAGTTGAAGGACAGTCTCCAAAAATGCAAAGGGAACTTGGAAGTCGGGGGTCACTCAACAGCTCGTAAAATAACTGTTATTTACTGTCATTCTTACACAAAAACAATACAAAGCGTCAATACTTTAACTCAGGAACGGTTGGAAGGGTTCGGGGTACATTGTGTGCCTGTTCGGGCAAAAGAATAGGAACGGAAATGCTCGAGTCACACGGGATTTTTTTTTTTTTTTGGTTTACTGTATTTGAAGTCTGTAAGGAAGGGGCTATATGTACACTGTTGAAGAAATTGGAGTAAACGGTTTCAAAAGCGAAAGTGAAGCTCCGCCCACAACCACATTTCAAACGGAGCTGCTAAACTGGGCAATGGCTGCGAACTAAAAAGAGTGAAGGAGGAGGAGGGGAGGCGGGGTCCGGAGCTTTAATGAACATCGCGATCGATCTAACAGGTCGCACTTTAAGCTCCGCCCCCTCTGCCAGGTGTTTGCAATAGGCTCTGTTCACACTTGCGTCGCAAACTTGGAAGACGTTTGGAAATATGCAACGACAACTTCCTTTGGGCTCTGTTTGCGGAAGCAAGTAAAAATTCAAAAATGTCCCAGTTTTCTTCATTTCCACGTCATTGTAGCTTTCCGTTACGTTCGGCGAATCAACAGTTCCAACCGTATGTCAGTTTTCATCGTTTCCCCACTGACGCACAACTCCGAGCGCACTGGGTACATGCGATTAGAAAAGATGAGGCGCCGACTTCCAGATGATTCCAAACATCACGTACGTCTGCGGTCTTGATTTTACCACTGAGCACATTTACTTCAGTGGGTTTGATCAGCCAGTCAAGCCCAGAGTCGGGAACTACACCAGAAGTCGCCGTCGCGTGTTTCCGAACGACCTCCTGGCGTGAACAGAGCCTATAGACGCGTCAAGAATCTCGGACTTCCGGTCATTGCGCAATGCACACTGGGAAGGATTTTCTGAAAAAAGTGAGCATCAAACCGCCATGTTTGTTTTCCCAGTGGGATGAGTCTATTGACAAAGTCGATCTTTTCAAGTCTTTTGAACCATATCACTTTTGTTTCTGGTTCTGATATTGTCATATTTTAGTTTTGGGATTCAGACATTGTAATTATGTGGTTGTTGGATCCTAACAGCAGAAAACAGCTCAAGAAATTTGTTTGTGAACTCCATAACTGCAAAAGGGAACCAGATGTGTGTGACTGCAAACCTCTGTTCAAACTGTTTCTCTTCCCAACGGAATTGAAAAATAGTGAAAGGTGAAGGTGATGGGCGGGATTGATCCACAGGAAGAACCAGAAAGAAAACCTCTGACTACCTAAATCATCCTGAGTTTACAGCGAACAGTTAGTATGTGGAGCGACAGCAAAGCGGGATCCCGTTTGTTAATCGAGAAGTGCAGAAGACAAACAGACTGAGGTGCTCTTTCTTGTTCTTGTGGTTTTGCAGTCACACAGATCTGATTCCCTTTTGCTTTTATGGAGTTCGCAAACAAATTTCTCGAGCCGTTTTCCGCTATTAGGATCCAACACCCACACAATTAACGATGTCCGAATCCCGAAACTAAAATATGACAATATCAGAACCAGAAAGAAAAGTGATATGGTTCAAAAGACTTGAAAAGATCGACTTTATCAATAGACACATCCCACTGTAATACAATCCTTCCCAGTATGCATTGCGCAATGAGTCTGAGATTCTTGATGCGTCTATTAGAAACACCCGACTCTAACCTGGGCAGTCTTTTGTGATGTCACCTACTACGAATAGTCGCGTTTTTGACCAGAAAGCTGCAGATTTGCTCTAAAATTGCCAAAACTGACTTGGAACAGTAGATAATGCTTTTAAAACATAATTTGCACAGTTAAGTAGCTAAAACAAAGTGGATTTAGTGTTTAGTTCCTCTTTAAGTAAATAGGACCTTGTACAAAATACTACTGCATATATGTGTACATGAAATTATACAAACAAAATCAAATAATCTGAACTTGAATCAGTCCATAAAAATAAAATATAAACATTATTGTATAAGACATATTGTAATGTATTTTTAATTACCATTGACTACCATGAAATGACTCCCCCTCGCTTCTACATAGGTCATAATAAGCAGTAGCCTATTATGAAGTGACACAAATGCTTTCTGGTGATACATTTAATCACCAATTTCCAAATTTTCACTCCCAAATCGTGTATTTTACTGATCACAGGCGGTTAAAAAGCTGAAAATACATATAGCCCCTTTGAGTCATCAGTAGTGTGTTGTGATGGTGCTGGATTGGGAGAATTAGCCATAATAACTTTAATTTGCTGTTTTGCTTTTTTTTTTTTCAATGGGTTGTCTTCCCTCATTTTAATCACTGTATTATCTGTACTGCAGCCGCCACGATTCTTGTCTCTGATCATGTAGAGTTTGAGTTTTGTTCGAGTTTGTTAGAGATATTTATGGACGACCTGGTGTTTTAAGATTGCCTACGTAAAAATACTAAAGTTTGGTACTGGTTTG